ATCAATATTTAANGGCAAACTGAAATGACATGAAAAAAAAAACACACCACAATCAAACCCCTGGTCCCCATCTACCCCAACTGAAAAATATAAAAGCAAAGCTTTCACTGAAATTTCTATAAAAATGCACGCCCATGATATACTTACTTGTAAATAATAAAGGGGGTGAATAAATAATTATAAAATTTCTATCAATGAACTAATTGTGAAATGAAGTTTTATAGAACTACAAATATGTTGAAAATGTCATTTGGGCAAATGTTTGAATTTGTTGCGTTGTTTTGTAAACAATAATATAGCTAATTTTCATTTTCTACACCAACTTTCAAAATTTTGTACTGACAATAGAATGACTTGGTTGGGAACATTTCTCCGAAATTTCCCAAATGGCGCAGGTTGATTTTATGAATAGATTCACTGAAAAAAATCTGGTGGTGTTAAGTCTGGTGACCTCAATGACCAAATAGTATATTCTTCCAATCCATTACTAAAACATCGTCACCACACGGTTTTGACTAACTCCAAGAAATTCACGACACAAACCGGGTCAATAAAAACAAGCTGCAATACTCTCAGTAAACAGTGTGAAACAAAATAGACTAAAGTACAAGCTATCATGGTTGTGACATCAAAACCACACACAGCATCAAAAATAAACAGTCTCCATGAACATCCGCAAAAATAATGATGCATGGAAATTGTACCCATAAACGAGATACTTTTGTAAAAAAAATAGCACGAAAGTTACATCCTGTGATTTCATTTCATATCTGCTTCAATTATTATTTGAACGGGGTTATTATTTGTGATTATTTCTGTAAACCCTTTTTGAAGAATAGAATCGCATATAATTGCTTTTGGCAGTTGTTGTTGTTTTAGATTTAGCCATCTGAAATAATGTTTTCGCTGAAATACCGATATAGCCCGTTTTGAGTTTTTAAATTGTCACACTGTATACTGGGTAGTTTTTTCTCTTCCACCAAATTCTGGCGTACGTTTATCTATCAATACAAAAAATAGTGTACATCACGATAATCTAATTATATACGGCTCAATGGTTTAGGTAAGATCTATTTTTGGTATAATACGAATTACAAATCGACACGAACAAGTATACAGAGATCGGTATCGTACATGACCTACTATCTGGATGAATTGCTATCAAGGCCTAGACACAATTAGGTGTATTCAGTTAGCAGTAATTAAGAGAAATTTCTATTTAAATGTCTGTCGTAATGTTCCTGAGAGAATTTTTCATTTTGAAGACACAAATTGATGTTTTATTATAACTTAATGAAAATATAATTACTGGTGACTCTTAAAATAGCTCTAAATAGTAAGGAAAATCGCTGAAGGTTGCAAAGTCCCGTTTTTTGTTTCTTGAATAACCGCGACTTTATACATTCGAAGTATATCTTACTTTTCAATCCGACTTCATTATAAGTATAAGGTTGGGTTAGATCCGAAGTGAGTGGGTTAATTTGACCCTCCACCGCAACTCGCAAAGGTTTATTGTGGCTCATACCTATTCACACTCGACCAAATAAACCCAGCTTTTTAACGAAGACGATTAGTTTTTATGGTGAGTGGTTTTTCAGGTCAGATGGTAGGAGTACGACTCTGACGAACTCTAAGAACCTGATTCGCTCCCCAGTATCCACACTATCTTCCGACACTCCGAGTGTCTGCATATGATGATTTAAATGACAGTGACCTGTAAGAAGGCCTGTTAGAGATCGTAGTTCATCCCTACTGTAGTCGAACAACTGTTTAGTATGAAGCTTCGAAGGGTGAATAGACGCCTTGGAGTGAGCCAATCCTGGAAGATTCTGCCAGAAGCATAAATCGTCTATAAATCTTCTCACCATCCAGGTGTTTAAACTTTGATTGGCAAAGCCTAAAGCGATGCCAATGACATGCTCTGAAGCTGCTTGCAGCACCCTTCCTTGCAAGGGACTCAGCAGCCTCATTGCCTTCCAGGGCAGTACGGCCAGGAATCCAGAGACAATTTGTTGAGTCTTCCTATCAATTAAGACGTTTTTCGGCAGAAGCCAAGAGCTTTCAACGCCGCTCTACTGTCCGAGAATATTTTTATTGACTTGTGTATGAGGCTGAATTCTTCCAATCTCTTCGCACAAAATTCAATAGCGTAAATTTTCGCTTTAAATGCAGACGCATAGGTTCCTAGGCAGGTTGATATCTCTGTCCTGGGTCTGCGACTGAAAACACCTGCACCAGAATCGGAAGATGTTTTTGATCCATCTGTGAACCAACAATTATCTGCTCTCAATATTTCCAGTCGTCTCTACTCGGGAACAGTACTTTATAAGGCAGTTCGTAGTTGACAGTTGGAGGCATAAAGTCAGAGGTCTTTTCCAGAATGCTGTCCAGAATGCTGTGACTTCCGGTGTCAACCAATAGTCTGTTGCACTCTGCATTAAATTGATTTGTGCAATTGGCAATGTGCTCAATTCTATATGCAGTCCCTCTAGCATCTCTCTTTAAAAAAATGTGGAGAGAAAGTAGATCTAGAAGGATCTTCATGGCCGCTGACGATGTGGTACTGATAGCACCACTGATGAGCAGACAAGCCTGTCTCTTTTAGCCAAAGAACTATCAGGTTTAAAATTGATTATTTGACAGCACCTTGAAACTTGTCCCAATCATGGGATTCCTTCAATATTATCGTCTTTATATGATGATAGTCTTGAAAAATATTTGAAAATTATGTTACAGCTCATCAAATATTCATATCTGTTATACAAGGTGTAACTGAATAAGTGTAAATCATTTTAATGGGTTAGAAGCTTCTAGAAGATATGCTGAAATGTATTCTCAACGGCAACATCCTTCACATAGAATATTTGCTCGACTCCATCAACGATTACGAGAATATGGTTCATTCGACAAAAGAACGCAGGATTGTGGTCGCCATCGAGAAGTTCGAACACCACAGCTTAAGGAAGCAGTACTTAATGTGATTGAAGAACAACCTACTACTAGTTCTAGAAAGATTTCTTCACAGCTAAATGTTGATCATATGACGATATTTCGAATTTAAAAGGAACAACACTTATACCGTTACCATTTGCAACGAGTACAGGCACTGTTACCGCGAGACTTTCCGAACCGTCTTGAATTTTGCAATTGGATGCTGGAAATGATTAGAAGAAATTCTGACTTTCTGAGGACGATAGAATTCACAGACGAATGTAGTTTTTCTCGGGACAAGATTTTTGATTTTCATAATTACCACATATGGGCTGATGAAAACCCTCACGGTATTGTCGAAACTAACCATCAAGAACAATTTTTTCTCAACGTGTGGCTCGGAGTTATTGGGAATGATTTAATTGGGTCTCATTTTCTACCTCCTCGATTAAATGGTGAGGCATACGTTCAATTTTTAAGAGAAGTGCATCCAGTACTGCTGGAGGAAGATCCTTTGGGCGTCAGAAGGGATATGTTTTTTATGCATGATGGGGCTCCCGCCCATTTTATTCTAGTAGCGCGTCAGCATTCAACTGAAACATAGGCAAATCAGTGGATAGGTCAAGGAGGGCCACAGAACTGGCCCGCTCGATCCCCGGATCTCAATCCTCTCAATTTCTCTATTTGGGGCCATTTACAGCATTTGGTTTATCGTACTCCTGTTCGCGATGTAGAGGACTTGAAAAACCGCATCATCGATGCGTGCAGGGTAATCAGAGAGACTCCAGGAATATTGGAGAAAACACCGAGCGACGACGTCTAGACGCATGCGTAATATCTGAAGGTAGACATATCAAACATTTACTGTGATTTTTACATGTTGTGTGTTTTGTTATTGATACATTAGTTTTGTTTATTACCCTTCAATCGTTTAATGCAGGTACTAACTACAAAATGACAATAAATCCAGTTCGCATTCATGACGATGTATCTTTGTAGTTGTTCGTAAAATATTGTTTTGCTGCGAACTGGTTTATTTTGGGCAAAAAACCCAAGAGATATTTTTTGTTTAGAATGAAACAGGCTATCGGAAATAATTTTTTAAATGGTGAAATAATAATAAGACAAAAAGTTACATTGGAAATAAATTTTAGGGGTTGCGTTTTCCACCCCTTACAACCATGGGGTAAACCAAATCAATTACTGGCTGAGTTTCTTTCTGGTAGTACAAAACATCAGGTTAATAATGATAGATCCTATTTGTTTTTCGATGAGGAATCACCTCCTTAAATGTTTTACACTTATTTAGTTACACCCTGTATATGAATGTCAATGAATGAAAATTATTTCGATTTCAGTTTCGTGGTAGTGAATTCCCCGGAAGTACGGAAATGTTTGTAGTATAAAGACTTCATTCGATTCAGATGTATGCAAATGAGTATTTCATGACAGAAAAGTTAATGAATTATTTCAAAATATTGCCAATATAGATTTTTCATTGAATTGTTATTTTGATGACAATATTATTGGTGAGGCAATATTAACGACCTGAATCAAAATGACAGTATGCTTGCAAATATTTCAAAGAAAACTTGAAGGAGATTCATTAAGTGTATTTTGATGATTATGCAAATGAATGGTAGGGTTTCGTTTCTTGATTGGTGAAGTGTATAGCTGTCTGTTCAAAAAATAAGGTGAATTTTCATTTTCCTCAAGAAATATTCACTTAATAATTCATTTTTATTCTGCCCCCTACAATATATAGTCCCCCTCAGATATAATACTCTTGTGCCAGCGTTTTTTCTTCCTGAACAAATTGTTTTTTCAGTTGATTTGGTGTACAGCCAGTCTTCAATTATGCCCACTGAATATATGTGAATACTTTTTAGATATTGATTTTCAACCATCCTATAACAAACCCGAAAAAATCACTCACTTTCCAAGAAAATTGCTCAGTTTCATATTTAATTCTTCAACAAGATTATTTCACCCATTTTGACAATCACCATTTGTCAAGCAGACAAAATAATGGTGAATGTGGAAATTCTGATCGATATTTCATTTTTCAGAGTGGTCAAACTCCGCTGAACATCGCCCAGAAACTAGGATACATCACTGTCATCGAAACCCTTAAAGTTGTAACGACAGTGACAACAATCACAACAACAACGACAACCAATATTGAAGAAAAATACAAAGTGCAAGCACCGGAGCTGATGCACGAGACCTTCATGTCTGATTCCGAAGAGGAAGGTGGTAAGGCTTCAGAAATATTCATAGTTACGCTACTTGTTGGCTGCTTGTTTTGCATTTTCATGGGGAGAATTCTCAAAACATCATAGTTACATTTGACGAATGAAAAATATGATGGGTTTGTAATTGATGAAATAACTAGCTCCAGTAGCAAATTGGCATTTTCCATCAATTCACACATTATTCGGCACATTATTTGAAAAATATATCACAACATGTTTCGCTAGCACAGTAGCTTTCTCAAGTGATTTGAATACTTCAAGTCATTCTTACATTAATATTTATATACCACATGTAACCATAACTGAGACTACATTCAAAAAATTACCTAAACCTCTACCTAAGGTACCTGTTCAATTATGATCACCTGAAGCATCATATTACCTCACATCTACATCAAAAATATTTCTTTCTCGGTTTTTAAGAAAACAATCTGATTTCTCGAATTTGGATGTTTTGTCTTTATTATTTTTAAATAACTTTCCCAACGTATTACGTGTTGTATATGCAATTTTAATATCTCGTTTTCTCAAAAATGAAGCCAGTTTTTCCGTTGGGTGTCATAGGGATATTAACAAAAATCATGACAACTCAATCAATTTCTTTGACTTAATAATGAGTAGAAGGAACAACAAAGTAACAGCTTATAATAGCATTATTCACAGATTAGTCAATGTTCCTCTTTCAATAGATAATTTCAATAGAGAACTTAATATCATCAAGCAAACTGCGGTTAACAATGGGTTTAAAGCCGAATTAATAAAATAAATACCTGCCAAGAAAGTCTACGCAAAGGCGATTTGAGACGTTTTTCCTATTGATAAGGTGGATAATCAAAATGTAGAATGTTCCTCCTGACACAAATCAAGTAAGTTTCATAATAGAGCTCTAAAACAACAAATTTTAAACTTATCGTTTCAACCTTTTTCTTTAAAAAAATATTTAAATACTTAAAAAAGAGGAATGAAATGATGCATTCAACATTTAAAGGGATTCGTTTCTATTTCACCATTTGGCAACATCGGTTATAGCTAATAAAGGACAATTAATCTGTTACCTGTATGAGACAAACAAAGATGACATATTTCAGAAGCGTGCTGTTCTGTTCACTTATGTTCCGAGTTCCGAGACATGCTGTGACATATGCCATTTTGTGTACCTAACCTATCTTCCTCTATATAAATAAATAACAAAACAACTGTTGTTTATGTGACCTGTGGAGGTGGTATTGAACTATAATTATAAAGATACATTTCCTCTTTCAAAGTAGAATATCTAGGTACGTATAAATTATTTCAACTTGATATAGGCGCTGTTGCCAATATGTGAGTTTGCTGTAATAACCCAAATTGAGGAACATTCCCCATTATAGAGCTTTAACGTATTTGGACAACCAACGGAAAAAGTGGCTTCATTTTTTAGGAAACGAGATATTGAAATTGCATATAGAACAAGAAATACGTTCTTCTGATGCACTGTTTGGATCCTTTGGTGTAGTAATGAATATTACTGGAATTTTTTCCATACACCAAATCGTTATTTTCAACACATCGATACGTGTTTCGATCACCAAGTGATCATCTTCAGAGAGGAAAATTAAAACTGGTCAACCTCCAGTAATATTGAGTAATATGTTGAGAAAGTTGGTTAAAATTAATGAAGACAAAAGATTCAAATTCGAAAAATCAGGAGTATATAAATCAAAGTGTGGAACGCGCCCTAAGGTATATATTGGTCAAACGGGCATAACATTTAGGAATCGAATCCAAGAACATCATACGAGCTATGCAAATAAGAAAACAAATTCAACATATTCGAATCATCTTCTAGAAAAAAATCATATCTACATATCTACTACTAATATTCATTACTACTACGAAGTAGTAGTAATGAGTATTACTGGAGTTTTTTCCCAACACCAAATCGTTATTTTTAACACTTCGACACGTGTTTCGATCACCAAGTGATCATCTTCAAAGAGGAAGATTAAAACTGGACAACCTCCAGAAATATTAAGTAATAGTTGGGAAAGTTGGTTAAAAATGATAAAGACAAAACATCCAAAGTCGAAAAATCAGGAGTATATAAATCAAAGTGTGGAACGTGCCTTAAGGTATATATTGGTCAAACGGGCAGAACATTTAGGAATCGAATCCAGGAACATCATACGATCTATGTAAATAAGAAAACAAATTCAGCATATTCAAATCATTTTCCTGTCATTATTTATACAGCTTGAAAGTAGAGTGTCTAATATGTTAATTCAACTCATGTTAAAATCACGGAAGTATATATTAAGGTACCGTTAATAGGCAGGATGATGAGACCCTTCGATTGTTATGCAACAAAAAGTGAAAAAACTGGTATGCAATAAGATATCTTTTAACAGCAAGGGCCTTTGAACAAAATAATAGTAATTATTGAAGTAACAATGGGATAAATACTAATATAAGTTTATTCATGAATAAATACAATAATATTCTTTTCCGCTCGAAGAAAAATTGCATTTGTAATGTTCTGAGAGAGTAATCAAGATACATTTCAAATAAATAATATCCAAAATTCCCAGAATGAAAATTAAAACACAAAAGTGTTTGCCTTCTCAAAATCGCCTCAATTTTGATATCTCTTAAAATATTGTTGGGAATCACACGGTAAAAGGTAAGACCTCGTTAGTCCTTAGCTTAGGTGAGAAGTATCATTCGTAGGGGGACGACAGCTGATTAACGGAAAAACAGATAAACAGATTTTAACAGCATTGCTTTGATTTTGGTAACATTATATTGAAAAATATAACTTCAAATATCCTTTTCAAACAGATTTTTTTTTGTTCTCGAAATGAATTGAACCTAATCGAGATACGCGACGAAGCTACTCAAAGCAAAAAGTACTCAAACGCAATATGAAAACGACGTCGTGTATAACAACGTTTCAGTATTCACTGCACTTTCTAACTAAGTATAAAAAAGGTAAAACATGATTTTATAAATTATTATTCATTAGGTCATCTTCATGCAATGGAAGGCAATGAAATTACATAAAATACCTACGCTCAGTTATGCAGGTAAAATAATGACCTTGCCATAGCTCGTGAATTAAAACAAACACAGGTAGTTCCAATTAACAGAAACCTGCTTATTTACCTTCGCAGAATAATGTTAATTTCATCAATAATAGTTTTGTGGTATAGTTTTGTCCGAAAGAGGATCTTCAACTTGATCTCTATTGATTCAATTTGTAATTATCACCAATATCTGATTGTAGAAATAGGCTCCATATCACAACTGACACAAAACTCAAAATATAGTGTCTAAGCAAACAACAAAGTTATGGGGATACCCATCGTTGGTAAGGAAGACCAATGTTTTGCTGAAAATATAATGGGAACATACATTACACACGGAACAAAGTCTTTTCCATGTCCTGAAGACGCCACCTTGATTGATGAAACGCGGGTTGGGACACATATTGCCTCTATGGTGATTGGGAAAATTGCTTGCTCTGGACTTATTTTTTACCAGAGGTTCCAATTTTACATTGTACCTAGTACCCAGTTTACATGAAAGAAAATCAAGGATTTTGGGAAGGAATTAGTTTTGTGGCAAAAACGTTTTTCCTTTTGTACTTCTTCATTATCATATAAATTTTGAAACTCCCAAATTACAAGGACTGAATGAACAATGTAGAACCATCACATTGTTCCAGCTAGACTTTCGACCTAGGCACAAATTCAATTATATCGTATAGATTTGGTCTTTTGAATTCGTGCAGAGAATCCTTATATCGTAAAAGAGTAGGCAGTAACACCAACCCGCCAATTTGAATAATTTATTGCGTGATTATTCCTTTCATTATACTTTCAATTTCACTCATCATGAACTATGAATAGATTCTGACATTGGCTTTCGAATAACAACATAATAACTGTAAAATTGTTCAATGCGTTGGTTTATGAACTCGTCAAATTCCACTCAACAACCCATTATGATTTGAATAAACAGTAAATGGTACAGGATTACGCCTACAATATTGAAATGAATGCACATTGCACATATACTACGTAGAAAGGATTTTGAAAAAAGTACTTTGACAAATGTCTAAGACCAACTAAAAATCAGTCGAAAAATCTGATTACAAAAAATAAATTATAACAGTAATATACTCATTGAAATTGTGCATTGGAAAAATTGAAATCAAAGTGTTGTTTTGTACTCTTCAAATTAGATTAGATCAGATTGTCGGGGAGCTAGACCATAGTCTGATTCACTGCGGCCTTTTTAGATTCATTGTGATGCTCCTTAGTTGTTAAAGCTTATTGTTTAGCTTGATATCTTTGATGAGACTCTATAGCCTTGACATTGATCCCTTCATATAGCTGGCAGTCTCTGGTGTCTCTTCCCCGCATCTTGCGTGTCTCCGCCTTGCTATCTTCTGTCAGACCCATGTTGCCCATATGTTTCCTGAGTCGGCTATGCCACGTTAGTAGACCCACCACTACCCTTACAACCTTACGGTTGTGGTTTAGCAGGTCTTTCGTGAATCTGGCGGTTGGTTTCTTCATGAACTCTTTCGTCTGCCTCATTCCTGGGAGCTTATTCCACCAATATATCGATTCGGCTTGCATCCATGAAGTTATGGATGTCTTTATACACGCATTGGCTACCCCGCAGAAGGGTTCTGGGACGAGCATAGCCTTGGATGCGCCTTCACCGGCTAGAACGTCGGCCTCCTCATTGCTATTGTGACCATCATGTCCGAGTACCCAAGCTAGAGTGATCCTATTTTGGGTACTTAGCTCCTTCAGTACGCTCAGACAGCTTCCCACCAGTCTTGAGAATACTGGCCGCTACTTCTGCCTGGAACACAGTTGCATTGTATCCGAGGCCGAATGCGATTCTCGTTTTTGCTCTGCCTCCGTATATACCGGCTCCCACTCCTTCTTTATATTTTACTATTCTTTCTATTTTCTATAAGACATCGAATGTATCTTTGAAATGGTAACG